CTTTGTTCTGTTTTTCTTTTATTTTATGTGTATGTTTTTACTGTGTATTATGTAACAAAGAAAAATTAAAATTATAAGTTAAAAAAAATTACATGAAGTTTCTGTGAGAATCCCAGTTCACCCAGCTGCTGTTTAATGACGATGCTGAGGTTTGTTTCTCTTTATTAATGTATCATAGGTAACCTGRAAATGAGCGGACTTAAACAATAAAAATGTTTAGATACACAGTGAAATTTAATTAAACGTTATTTGAAACAAATGGTAGTGATAGGAATGCACCAATAAATCAGTCAGTGYATCGGTTTCCTTAATTTTGGGAGATTGGCTGATACTTGGATAAAATCAGTGGAAAAGATGGACTTCTACCTCCAGAAAGGTCTGAAAATCAGCCACTGTGTCCTTTAACTCTGCTGTGAGCTCTAACTAATGTCCAGTTCAAACAAGTCTGTACTGTTTCAGGGGCATTGTTCAGTGTTTTTCAGTTAAATCAGTGGAACATTGAAGGTGTGTTGTGACATGATGACCGTCAGTTATTTCAACAATCGATCTCAGACCAGCTCAGTGATCAGACAGGAAACTGTTCACCTGTSAATCTAACCAGGTAACCTGAGTGCTCCTGTTCTTTCAGCCTGGTCTTCCTCAGTCCGACCATCGAGCCGCTGGCTTTCTGGGAGACTCTTTGGGCGGTTGGCGTCACCAACCTGATAATAAAGTTCCTCTTCATGGGAGTGAAGTGCCTTATCCTGCTGGTGCCCTCCTCACTGGTTTCCTGTAGGACCCAGGTAGGACCAGCAGGCTTCTCCTCAGGGTTGATGTTTAGGAAAAGAAACTCTTAAGTTTGTTTGGGTCCTCAGGGTCGGTGGCTGATGTTGACCGAGGAGCTGGGTCAAGTCCACCAGGCTACAGCACCTGTTCCACTGTGGTTCCGTTACCTGGTTACCTACCAGGAGTCTGAYGGGACCCCTGGCCTCACTCTGGGGGTCCTGCTGGCTCTGCTCTACCTCATATTGAAGGTCAGATCCCACAAACAGCACATTTTTATGGCCTAACATGTTCAAACCTGCTGTTTTCTGTTCATTTTCAGCTCTTGGGATTGTACAAGCAGTGGACGGTCTTACTGAGAACTGTCCGGGTTTTTCTAGCAGGCGAGGTCAGAAACAAATAACTTTCTGTTTCACACTCTGTAAGCAACAGTTTGTAAACATTTTACAACTTTACTGTTTGTTTTCCAGCGTTGTGGCTCTGCAGCAACACGAGCTGAGTGCATGGAGGCTGGAGACGTGTGTCCCATCTGTCAGGGGGAGTACAGAGACCCCCGGGTCCTGATCTGTCAGGTRAAACCCACAGTCTGCCTGGATCTGTACGGCACTTCTGTTTGTCTTCTCATAAAGAGTTACACTGAAAATACTCTTATAAACATAAATGATGTGATTTAAAACACGTGAATTTTTTATATTTTATAGTTTGGTTCTCAGAACCTGAACAAAATCAAAACTACAAGTTTTTTTATAAACTGACAGAGGGATGTAAGGATTCACTCAAACCTTCAATTATCCATTTTAAATTCATGTTTACGATTATTTTCTTTCTTTTTTCTTCAACAAAATGTACTGTAGCTATTTTATAAACAAATATTAAGGATCCAACGATACAGAAAATTCATGGTTCGGTTCGATACTTTAGTCTCACGGTTTAATATTTTTTCGATACAAAAAAGAGAAATTTCCATGCCCCTTTTAACTTGTAATTTATTTAAATTAATTATGAACATTTGTTTAACCTCGAAAGTACAGTTTTTAAAAT